CTATCAACACCGGCTGTTTACAGAAGAACGGGCACAGGGCTCTTCTCCTTGTTGCATACCAACCACACACACCTCATGCAGATAGATTATTTTGACGTCTACATCTACTTATTTAAAGCTTCTGACTCAATTTGAAACACTCCAGCAAATCCCATGGCAGTGACAATTAAGAAACACAAACCACAGAACCACATGGCTACATTTTTTGTCACATAGCTAAGTGTGCGCGTCAACATACGCTACTGTATCAGCTTTCACAGCTTCCTAGTAAATCTCCAGCATCCTCACAAATAATATAATTTAGGGAGTAAGATGAAGGTGTCATTTAGGTATACAACCTAAGGTTAGGAATGTCTCCGCTAGATAAACAGACACAATATATGATCTTATGGAATCAATTTCTGGAGACACACTAAAACTGAGTAATTTCTGAAAAAAAGGGATAATTGAAAACTTCATTGGAGAAAATGTTTTGATTTTGGAAAATGAGAAGGATCAGCTGCTTAAAACTCTGGAAGACTCTGAGCCGGAAGGACCTTTTAATTCTTGTGGTGCTTAAATGGTGGGTTCTCAATCCAATCTTAATCTTGATATGGCCATTGAAGAGAAAAGAGAGACAACAAAGTATATCTGCAAATTACAATTTGAGTCTGATGCCTAATGGAAGTCATCAGACTTCACTCCTACTTTACAACCGTACCCAAAGTACATTCAGTCAGAAATGCACTGATTTGGTTTCTTTTTTTTGCTTAAAAATGTAAAACTCATTGCAAGGGGTAGATCTGGGCAAGGAAAAAAGTGAAACAGGATAAAACTGATGAGCAAAATTCAGTGACTGCTGTTCACAACAGCTGGGGAACGAGGTCTTCAAATAGGTATGTGAATGTCTGACACTCCTCAGGACAGCAGAGGCCATCATACACCAAATGGTCCTTGGCTTCAAATTTCTGTGCAAGAAAACTCTTAAGTCCTCGCAATGCTGACATATGTTGACAGAACAGGATGAAGATATTTTTGTGATGGGTATGGAACTGCTATGCAATAATCAAATACTGAGATGCTGCAATTTCATTAGCACTGAGAGATCTGGGCAGGGAGGCTGCCGACTGTCAGATCACATTCAGATGAAAGGGTACAATTAACTGTGTGTAACGTAGATTAATGGAATGAATCTGATAGTTACTGAGGAAGTCTCACAACTTCTAACAAAGCAACTATAGCAGAAGGTAATGCTGTTTATCATAAAAATCAAAGCAATAAATCAAGTGTTCCAAATAGAACATTTTCATTACCTTGTTACTTATGCCACTGCGAGTAATCCTATTTATCCCTTTAACACAGCAGGGTAGAAGCAGATGGTTAAGTTGTCAGTACCACAGGGAAACCTCCAGATTTCTAAGATGTACATTTGGTTTCTTATTTTATCCATTTCATGCATCTGGGAGTCTCTATTTTGTTAGTACATTATTTGTTCAACTTGTGTAATTTACTCCAGTCCATCTCTTGCACTTGTGGCAAACCTACACACATATTTGACAATAAAGTTATGGTAACAGGATTTTATTATTGTGGTTATTACCACCATTATTATTACAAATCAATAATGTACATGGCTCAGCAAAATGCCTATTACCAAAATCAACTGTTCTAACAATTATCAGCACATTAACAAATCCGTATTGTGCAGGCACAGAATGGATCTCTCTTCCTGCATGGATCTCTCTGCTTCTGGCACAGTTCCTCTAACTTACTAACAGGACTATGTACTTTTGCAGCGAGATAATTAACTTTTGCCACGGCATTCTGCAAAGTCTCAAGCAAATCTGAAGTACACCACAATGATAAACCCTCGGCACTTACATGGGATTTGCTACCTCATCTCTGATGAAACACATTTTAGTCTGTCAGGCTCACCTGCCAGTCTCCTTCTACATTCTATTCTGCAATTTTAAAAAAATGGCAACCTCTGTAGCCTGCTACAAAAAACCCTTTTAACCATCTTCCAACACGTCTACTCTCTGAATATAGAACTAATCATGCAATTCCCCAAAGAAATTAGAATCAGCAAGAGTTTGTGTATCAGCCTTAATGCAATGCCCATTTCTCTTGGTTCAAATCTTACTTTATACCCATGCAAAAGCATAACACATTCATGTCCAAAAACTAAAAGCAAACTAGTAGACTCTAGTCAAGCAAAAAAACTATGATCAGAAAATTAAAAGGGTGCTAAAATCGTGTTTAAGGTTCTACATCCAAACCAAACATGTTCATGATTGGTATGTCTAGGTAAGATTCGCATGAGATATGCCCAGTCACGGTCCAGCTGCCCTGGCTGAGCTTCAGGTCTAATAAACTGCAGGTACTGTACACACTACTGGCATGCCCTAACAAGGCTGTGAAGGAAAGAATTTGTACAGCATTTTACACAGTCACTGGCTTTATGTTCCCCTAACAGCTCCTTCTTTTCATGTGCCGTTTCAATAATACATTATTTTTAAAGGATTTGATGGGAGTATCTGATGCTCTTGGTTTACTTCTGTCTCTTTTGATACCACATTTTGAAATGTTTGTTCTGGTAGAAGATTGAGCTTTTGTTTTCCTCCTACAGAAGTCTTTAGCATGTCTGTCAGAAATCACTCTTGGAAACTAGACACTAGAAGATGCTGCAAACAACTTTCCACAGAATTTCAGCTGAATTAGGGGGAAAATAGATTCAATATATGTACTTGTACTGTCTTTCTCTGAGAATAATACTTCTGTAGTATCCAAGAAAATCCCAAGTCTATAGGCCAATTCTGAATGTTTGACAAGGGCAATTTGAAAAATCCTCCTGGGGAAGCAGTAATTAGAGAAGGCAACTGGCAGCTAGGAGGCCCACGCTGTATTCCCTGTTTCATTACTGATTTTTCTGGATGACCTTGTCAAGTCATTTAATGCCTTTCTGCCCGTGTTTCCCTATCTCCAAAATGTTCAGATAAACACATTCTTTTTGAAAACACTCTAAAATTGTTTATTATGGAAATAGTTCCTCAGACGTTAATCTGCCTCTTGGGGTGTAACATCAGATGAAAACCACAATAGCCATATGACATAAATGTCAATCAAGTATTTTCTAACAGATGAAACCATTGCAGTTTAAGTAATAGGTTAACCCTGTACCTGAAGTTTTTCTTTATTTCAGACAAGACAGTAGTTACTTGTTCCATTTTAGCCTTATTCATATTAGCCATGCCAGCAAGATAAGCAAACCATGAAGGCAACAAAAAGCAAAAAAAAAAAAAGGCATGAACTTCTTTGTTCTGCTTAATTTAAGAAGTGTGGCTATTTAGCCAAGCTTCATCTTGATCAAGTATGCACTGCTAGCAGTAGGCAATGCTCAGAACTGGAATTAAAGCTACTGGCATAGTACCCTTCAGCATGCAGATGGTTTAACAGCGGCTACGTGGTGACTGGCACCCCTAAGTCCCTTCAGGTCAGTACAGACTCTCATGCACATCTTCCTGAATGGCAACTGGTTCTCCCATGCTCCCTCAATGACCCTGACTGGTTAATGCACATTTTTATTGTTAATGGGCCAAGATACGTACTATAAATGGAATACCTAAGTGCAGTCGCATTATGACTCATTTCACCACCACTCTTCTTCTAGAGAAAGTGTAGTATTACATAATCCTAGAAGCAACCTAATAGCAGAGAGGAAGCAAAATGGGAAAGGAGACGAGTGCAATTTTGATTTATTAATCCAGATGTACAAACCTAGGCTGGCTAACAACACGCAACATACACTAGAAAGAGAACTGCTTTTTGACATTTAACGCATATCCCACTTCAGATACCACAAAAGTGCTGTTAAAGTTCCATGAACTGAGCACAGCACCTCTCGCCAAGAAATGAAAAAGCAATGTAGAGTTTAGGACAACTTTTCTACAGGGACTTGGACATATTTCACTTGAGGAAGGATGCATACTGACACAGTGTCTGGCTCCCAGCGGCATTTCACTGAGCGCAGTACAGAACGCGGGCGGGTACACCGCCTCCTCCTTGGTGCTGCGCAGCCCTCACCGCCCTCCCTCGCACCCCACAAAATAGCGACTGCGCGTGCCCCGAAGCAAGGTGGCGCCGAGCACCGCCGCTCCTGCGGTCCGCCGCTAGAAAAACGCCAGCTCGCGCCTGAGCGCGCTACCTCATTGGCTCTCGCTTCTCTGCCACCCGCTGATTGGCGAGCAATTTCCCCCCACGCGCTCCCTCT